GCTGGACAGACAGACGGAGTGCAGTACTGGGGTGGGGGGACGGACAGAGCTGGCCCAGCAGCCCCACTTTGTAATCAGGTTTATCCTTCTATGGGCAAAGGGGTTGGGCGGTGACTCCGGGCTGACAGCACCCTCCCTGGGGGAGGGAGCTTTGAGTCAGCCTGCCAAGGAGGCCAAGCCCTGCTCGCCTGTCCACACCACAGGCCACCTGTCTGCACTCTGTGTTCTGGGACACGGCCTGGGCCCTGAGGCAGGGCTGGCAGGGCAGCCCCGCACTGTCTGGAGAACCCACTGCGGCTGCACCACCCAACGCCCACCCCCACCCCAGCTGAGCCACCCCCAGTGAAGGGCCCACCTTGCTGTCCCTTGTTGCAAGTTTAGTTCCCAGTGGACACAGGATCTGTCCAAAACCCCCAGCCACAGGCACATCACTGGTGCTGGCTGATGCTGAGTGAAATGGCGGGAGCTGGCATCTTTCACGCCACGTTAGTTTGCGTGGTGGGGACCCAGGCACGTAGAGCCGGCGGGCACACAGGGCCCGGTGGTAAACCAAGAGCTGCGGTGTGTGCATGGCACCCTCTGGCGGTGGCCGGAGGGAAAGGCCGATCTGGCTACAGCCCCAAGCCCCAGGCCTAGGGTCCTGGCACAGAGCACCCTGTTCCTCCTCTCCATGAGGCTGTGGGGCACAGGCCACACAGGGCTTGGGGCCCCATAAAGAACCCCTAATCTCCCCAGACTCGTGGCTGACCACTGTGGGGCCCCTGCGCAGTGTCTGGCAGCAGGCACCCAGGGCGGCCGCCCGCTGCCCCTCTGGTCTGTGGCGGTCACGTCACACTGACCACCACTGGGAAAGGCTGCTCTGGAGACCATTCCCCAGATGGCCGCAGGTCTGGACCTGTGTCCGGGGGGCTCCCTAGGTAGAGACGTGGGCTTCCTCGCTCTGGGCCTCAGTTTCCCTACTGCACTAGGTGGGAGGCCAAGACAGTACCTGCCAGCTGCAGGGTTCGGCGCTCCCTGGCCCTTCCGCTCGAGTGTGCCCGCCCGGAGGCAGCTGGGCAACCAGAGCCTCCGCCATCTGGACCCTGGTTCCAGGCTCCCCATAGCACACAGTCCCCAGCTCCCCCACCCCCTGCAGGCCACCCAAACCACAGGGAGCGTCCTGCCCCATCTGGGGGGCTGGTGTGAAGTGCAGCGGGGCGTTGTCCAGACCTTCTGGGACAGCTGGTGACCACCTGCCCCATGCAGTCCTGAACTTCTCACTGGGCGGGTCTTCTGTAAGAGGACAGACTCCCCAACCCCGGCGCTCACCCTGACTCCGCCCCACGCCCCCACCTCACGCTAGGCCTCAGCACTTTGCACGTGGCCCTGCTGGCCGACCCCACAGACCCAGGGCAGACAGGAGCCGGGAGAGGACGAGGTGGGGTAGCCTTTATTGGTGAGCAGGCAGGGGGCAGGTACCGGAGTCAGGGTGCTGTGGACAGTAAGGCTGTGGGCCCGGGGGGGAGGGCGTTTCTGCATGGCCACGGGCTGACGGGGAAGGGGCTGTCACAGGACTCCCGCTCTGAGATGGTCAACCAGACCACCCCCAGCACAGGGACTTGCCCGAGCAGTGAAGAGGACACCTGATAGGTGGCCATGAGGGCAGGGATGTCCCACGTCACACAGACCTGAGGTGATGTGACAGCACTGGCTCCAGACAGGCAGGATGCTGGGCACCACGACCTATGACCTTCCGCAGAGGACAGGGACCACTGAGCAGCCTCAGAGGCAGAGCCGTGGTGGGAGTGTCAGGTAAAGGCCAGTCTGCCCCCCGCAGCCCCAACGTGATGGACTAGAAGGCTGGACGCCCAGGGGACAGCAAGGGGACACAGGGGGAGGGGGCATTAGGGCCCCACAGAGAAGCTTGAGACTCCCCTGGAACACTCTTAAAAAGACGGAACGAAACCCCTAAGGAACGGAACTCTACAGAGAGAAAACCTTAGCTTAGTTTTCTTAAAAGGAGAGGAAATGTGACTGGGATTCGCAGCGTTTGCTCTCGCTGGGCAGGTTTCCTTTGAGAGGACAGAGCTGGGAATCGGGCAAGCGCAGGCACACCGGGCTCCTCCAGCAGCGCTCGGGCCCTGTGCAGACTCGTCTGGTGGCCTGCGGGGAAGAAGGGGCACTGAGACCCCGCCCCGGGCGGCAGGAGGGCCCCGAGCGGCGCCCCTCACCTCACTCACACGCTCAGCTGGAGTTCCTCTGGCGGACGTTCTTGCCCTTGTCGTTCACGTGGTGCCCACTGCTCTTCCTGTGGACGTGGGGACGGTCGTTCAGTTCTCGGGAGGACAAACAGCCACCCCCACACCCGCCGTGGTCACAGACGGAAGGGCACCGAGGCCAGCAGCTCCTCCGAGGCCAGCCCAGGGGCCACCCCCGCCCACCCCGCGCGGCTGAGACTCACAGTGGCGCGGAGCCGGTGTCCTCGTCTGCGCCGACGCAGCCGCGTGTGAGAGGAGAACAGGTGTCAGGGCTGCTGCTGGCCCCCTGGGGTCTGCCGCAGTGCTCCCCGCAGTGCTCCCGGCTAGACGTGCGGGGAGCCAGCCCCACCCCCGAGCCCCACATGCTCACCCCCCCTCACTGAGCAGCTGAGTGAGGCCATGCAAGCGGGGGACCCCCAGCTGTGGAAGGTGGGGCAGGGTCTGGGGAGGACGGACCGCCACCCACAGCGCCCTCCTCCGTTCCCCGCTCCTGGACTGCGCAGACGGGGAGCCAAGGGCTCGGGGCCAGCTCACCATCCAGGACCTCGTCCGGCTTCCGCCGCTTCTCATAGATGAAGATGATGGTGACCAGCACAAGCACCTCGGCCACAATGCCCAGGAAGGGCCACAGGGCGGCGAGCTGGCTGCGAACGTGCAGGACGATGACGGCCTGGTCGGTGCCCTCCACGCTGCTGCCGTTGCAGACGTACTTGCCGGGGTCGGTCTCCAAGTTCAGGTTCAGGATGTGAAGCTCCGTCCTGGTCTCCACGGACACCACGTAGACCTTATTCTGGGAGTTGTTGGTGAGGACCTGCTGCTCGGTGTCACTCACCTTGTACCACACCCACTCGGTGATCGGGGGGAAGGACTCAGACTTGCAGGCCAGCACGACGCCCTCCCCCTCGGTGGCGTGCTCTGACTTTTTCACGGCCTTCACTCTGGGGGGTCCTAGTGAGGAACAGAGCAGGGTGGGGCCTGAGCCCACGGCCTGGGGAAGGTGCCCACCTGTCCTCACCATGTGGCCTTCCGATGCCCAGTGTGGATGGGCTCCAGGAGCCGCAGAGCTCACCTGGCACATTGATGCTGGCCTTGCCCACGACCTCCGGGAGGAAGACACAGAGGTACTGGCCCCCACTCTCATCTGTGTCCAACCTGCAAACGGATGTGGCTGTGAGCCAGCGTGCTGCGGGTGGCCCTGTGGTGCCAGAGCAAGGCCACGGCTGGTGGCCCTACAGGAGGGGGGCACTAGCTGCCTGCGTCCCCTCCAGGAGGGGCAAGGAGATGCAGGGACCGTGGATGGGTCTGGCTCTCCTGAGTGGGTGTTTGCACCCACAGGCTCTGCACCCAGCAGCCCGAGAACAAGAAGCCCCGTGTCTCGAGACGGCTCAGCTCCAATCAAGACATGGCTTCAGCATGGGCAGCCTCAAGTTCCTGAGGACTTAATGAGCCGGGGACATGGGGATGCTGAGCTGGGGGCCTGATGGTGTCTTCTGCCTGGAGGAAGGCCAAAAGGTCTGGGAGGCCGGCCGTGACACCTGGGAGTGCCTGGGCTCCTCACGACCATGGGGTCTGAGCAAAGCGGTGTCCGACGTTTGTCCGAAGCAAGCCCACGGCCCTTGCCCTCGCCACCCAGAGGCCGTTGGCAGTGAGGGGACGTCAGGACGGGCAGGAGCCTGGGGTGAACTTAGTCCTTGGAACGAGGCCCCACCCCCTCCAGCCGGGACCCACAGGAAACGACCCGGTGCTTTGTGGGTGTCACGCACTCGTACTCCGTTTTCAGGCCGGGCAGCTCATCCTCCTTCAGCACCTTGTCCCCTTTCATCCAGCGGTGGCCGACGATCTCAGTGTTGCTGCTACTCAAGTTGCACGTGAGGTATGTTTTGGAGCCATTGGTAAATACGGAAGTCGAGATCCCGCTCCCTGGGAGGCCAAGCGAGAGATGAGCAAAGGGATTGGAGGACGGGCCGCCTGCCACCTGCCGAGGCTCCCCTCACCCCCTCGTCACCGCGCCCTCCTGGCCGAGGAGCCACAGTCTGGGGACAAGGCTGGAGTCTCACTCAGGAAGGACACCCCCTGAGTGAGCGGGGCCTCAGGCCACCGGATGGGACAAGGGGCTCCAGGCACGTGTTGTTGGGTGGCGCGCGAACCGTGGTCTCAGGCCAAGGCCCCCAGGGGTCTCAACTCCTGGCCCCAGCCCCAGCAGACCCCCTGATTCCTGTCGCTGCGCAAGCCCCCATTCCTTCACAGGCTGTCCTGCACGTCCCCTCTCCCTTGCCAGGGCAAGGCCACCTGTGGTGGGACAGCAAGCCTGGCCCCACGCACGGCAGCACAGGCTCCGGGCGCTCCGTCCGGGAAGGAGTCTTCCTCCCAGGTCGAGAGCCCCCGCAGCCCACTCACACCTGACACAAAGCCACACGGAAGACGATGTGCCGTCCTGCCCGGGACGCTGAGGGCGGAACCCCAGTGGCACTTGGGGCAGCGAAGGCCCCTTCGCTCATCCCCCACCAGGCAGACCGGCTGGGTGGTGGTGGACACACTCTGAGGAGCCGGGGCAGGACAATCAGCTAGGACTGGGGTGAGCAGCGCGGGAACCGGGGCAGCGTGGGGAGGGTGCCCCCGAAGACCTCGGCTGCGGCTGACCCCAGACCTCCCAGTGTTCGGGGCGGGATCGGGGGCTGAGGGGGAGGGGATGGAGCCCTCGGCCGGGGGCAAGCCCACCCATGGTCACACAGAAGCCCTGTCCCAGGGCTGGGGCTGGTGCCATAGGGACACTCCAGAGGCACCATGGGGCTGCCCACACCCACCCCGCCTGCCTCCTTGAGGGGAGGGGTCCGAGGCAGAGCAGCTCAGCTGGACCCAGAAGTATCTGTTTCTCCAGGACGGCCACCCACGCCCGGGGGTCTGGCCGGGGCTGCCTGCGCCGAGCTGCCTCTCCTTTCAGGCTGCGGCACAGAGTTGGGGAGCGGGGGGGACATACAAGACTGTATCCGAACGACCTCCACGAAGCAGCCCAGCAGGCTGGCAGCCACCACAAGCCCCCACCCACGGGACCTCGGCTCCTTGACAGTGTAATTGAGCAAACGTGAAAGTGGGCAGAACGATCGGAGGCTGTTGGCCCTGTCGTGATGGCCGCCTTAGGCGGGAACGCAGCGCCAGCATAAACAGACTCCCTGGGTAGCGAACCTTGGCTTATGCTGAATCCCCCAATCCAGAGGGAACGGTGGCCTGCGTCCCTCGGATGCCCTGCTGGGCGCAGCACAGAGTGGAGCACGCTTGGCCTCCCTCGCTCACATAGACCTGCCAGTCGTTAAGAAAGTCACCCCTCCAGGCCCAGAGTGCAGATGGCAGTTACCCTTCATCCAAGTGGCCTCATGGCCGGGCTGCTTTCTGGAGCGGCCCAGGGCAGCATACACCTGCCTCCTCCTACGGCGGCCCCAGCCTCACCCCACACTGCGTCCCTGGGCGACGGCCCAGGGCCTGGACTGGGCCATCGGTGGGCAGACAGCGCCCGCCCTGTCCCACTGAGGACTGACCCAGCCTGCAGACCCAGCGGCCAGCTGTGCGTCTAGTCTGGGGGGATGGTGACCGGCTGGTGGACAGGACACGTGAACAGCCCAGCGGGGGCCCCTTCCTGAGCAGGCCAGTCCTTTCCACCCCACCGCTGGCCACCTGCTGGTTCTTTCTTTAAAAGGGGACATGACGTCTCAGAATGCCAGGCGAGCAGAGGCTGAAGCACAAGGCTCAGCCACGGCCAGACCGGAGGAGCAACGAGGCTGCGGTCCCCACCTGCTTGGGACGTGTACACGCACGCACACAGGTGTGCCCGCAGAGTGCACTCCGCTCCGAGCTCCCGGGGCACGTAGGGGGCACAGGCTGCCAGCCAGGAGGCCCCGGGGACAGGCAGACCTTCCCATCGGCCCAGAAGCCATTCACGGGACTCAGGACAGAGAGTCAGTCAGATGCGTGTGCCACTGTCAGAAAAGGATCATTTCCTGATGACCCACACTTCTCGAGAACCAAGGTTTCCCAAGATTGCAAAACGTGCAGCTACAGGCAGAGCAAGCAGCAGTCAGGACAGGAAGTGAGGCAAGGCAGCCCTTGCGGCCAGGCCCGCCCGGACCCGTGCGCTCACCCTCACCAGGAGCAACCCGGAGACGGGAGGGGCAGACCCTGTCCCAGCTTACCTACCCCTGGCGTGGAAACACAGGTGGCCCAGAGCCCCTTGGGGCCAACACCTCTGCCCCAGTCTGACGGCCACACACAGCAGGGGACCAAGCCAGGCCGCACCACGGAGCCCCCTGGAGCTGGCCACGAAGCTGCCACTTCTCTCACGTATCCTCAACAGGGCCACTCGCCCTTGGGGGAAGGGTGGTGTCTTGAGCATTTTGATGGCTGGGACCAACTCTGTGGTCACGTCCCACAGGGACCTGCTATTAGAAGTAATGCTACCATCTGTGATTTGAAACATCACTAGGACAGGGCTCCCTGGGGAAGGGGGGCCACGACACTGAGAAAGGTTGAGAAGCACGTCCTCCAGTGCCCAGGAGACTCGGGGGCATACCCCGGAATCCTCAGGGGCGCAGGAGGCAGGAGCAGTCACCGCAGGGCACTAGGCGACCGGGGAGAAGGGAAGACCGCATCCTGGCTCCATGACTGTAACCCACGCTCCCCAGTAAAGTCACCTTCATCTAAAAACAGCCAGCCCTGCTCGGTGCCCGCTCGGCAGCTGGGCCGGGGCACAGGGCCAGGGAAGCCTTGTGGTGAGCAGCTCGGGAGCTCTTGGGATGGGGCTGTGGGCACCCGGCCCTCTCCCCGCCCACGACCGCACTGCAGGCCTCAGACGGGAGCTGAGCCGTGGGCCCCGCACTTCTCCACCCTCCGTCCCGCCAGGAGGCAGCATCTGCTCCCCTCACTAGGGGCTCAGAGGGGCCAAGTCCTCAGCCCGCCAGATCCGGCTGGCAAGCTGCCCAAGCACCCTGCCCGGCCAGGATGCCAGGACCCTTGGCAACCCCCGCAGAGCCAGAGTCTCCCAGCAGGAGAATCGCCCCAGGGCCTCAGGGGACAGAGTGCTGAGGCTCAGGTCCAGGAACCCACTCCTTGCAGTGTCACAAGTCTTTCTGGGGTGCTGACTGTGCCAGGAGGGGCAAACACCGTCACTAAGTCACCCCTCCCAGGCAGAAAACAGATGTGTGGTGACGTCCTCTGAAGACTTTCAGACCTTCCCAAGAATCCCTGGGAAGGGGGAGCTGTCGTAAGTGCAAGAACGAACAGGAGGCCGGGGGTCAGCCACAGAGGATGTGACCCCACGCAGGGAGTGCACCAGGGGCCTCCCAGCTTTCTGCCTGGGGCCCTGAGAGAGGGGAGCACTCTGGGGACTGAGCCCCCAGCTTGCCTCTCCAGCCTCCCAGGCCTATTTCCAAAGGGCTCAAGCAGCTTATCTTCTGAATTTGCTTTGCCTACCGGCTCCTATCTGAGGCTTTCCAGAAATTGGCAGTAGCCAGGCCCAGAGGCAGTCAACAAATGGCCACTTTGATTAGAAGGAAGAGGAAGAGGCAAAGTGAGACCTTAAAGTAGGTCAGGAGTAACCACTGAAGTTTCTGCAAAGTATATAGCCCTTCCCTGCCACAACCACTGCCACACGGCTCAGAGCCCACCAGGTCCTGTGTCCCTAGAAAAGCCCCAGAGCATCCTGGTCTGCACTTTGCTCCCTACGTGCCGGTCACTATGAATCTTTAACCCAGAAGCAAGCAGGAAGCCTCGATGCGGGAAGAAAAGGTCCATCAGGCTTTCTCCTGGAAAACAAGTCTTCATCCATCCGCACCCCCCCACACACACACACACGCTCTAAGCCGCGCACGGGCCCAACCCCAAAACACAGCTGGCTCCTCAGAACGGCCTGAAAACTCCGTGCTGTTCGAGTCTGTAAAAACAAATCTTTCCACTTTTTTTTTTCTGAACTGGGCGGCCGGGGCGACCTCCCGGTAACCTTGGCACATCCTCTCTGCCAAGAGAGCCTCAGTTTCCACCCCAGTAAAGGAGGAGGGTGGCCCAGACGCCAGCTCATCTGTGCCCGGTGACAAATCGGCCAAACCGAGGCAGCAGCGTGCAGGCCTCCCCGCGACGGTTTAAAAGTTTGGGCGAACACTCGGAGCAGCTGCACACCCAGAGCGAGACTCGAGACCTCAATCCCCGCAAGAATGACAATCCCTGCCAGATCCGGGGCCGCCCGCCCCCGGAGACGCTCACGTGCCTTTGCTTCCAGAGTCCACTGGGCCAAAGGCTCGCTTTCCAGAGGAGAGCCAAGCGCCCCCAAGGAGTCCGGGGGACCCTCCGCCTCGCCCCTCGCCCTAGCACAACCCGGCCGGGGCCCGACCTGCAAGTTGCCTGCCCAGGTCCCTGGGCTTCGCGTCCGCAGGGGACGCTCCAGGACTCAGCCAGATCGTGGGGGGGCCACCACCGTATCTCCACCCCAGGAGTCAGGCTGGTTCCCGGACCCCGCCCCTCCCCCAGGCCGCCGAAAACCTGGGACTTCACCTCCGTCATCGCCCTTGTCGGACCCCCGCCCAAGCCGGAGCTTCGCCACCGAGGTGCCCCCAACCCCGGCACTGCCGCCCGCGGGGCTCCCCGGGTGCCGCCACGAGGCCAGGGCTTCAATTCCACCCGCGCTCGACTGGACCCCGAGGC